CCCCCCCTTGACGGCACGCAGGTGCTGCACCCGGCGGGTGTGGGCCTCGACTTGCGCGTCGCTTACACCTACCGCGCGCACTGGGAGGAGGGGGGCTACGACTCAAAGTACGAGCCCGCCGTCCTGTCTGCGCGGAGAGGGACAGAGAGCCGCGAGGCGGCGACGGCTTGGTCGGGCGGCGCCCTGACCGGGCCGGGGCGTCTGCGAGTGTAGGCTCGCGCTGCTTCGGAGGGAGGGGGTGGCGCTGCAGAGCCTCTCGCCCGCCGACTGGGTACGCCATCCCCTCTCGCCGCACGCGGTGCGCCCGCGCGGGCCGTGCACGGACGCGTCCCGGACATGTCCTCTTTCCTCTCGCTAGGCGTGGCTTGTCTCGCACTGCGACGCGCCGACGCGGGACGCTTGGGCGCGCGGCGCGCCGCCCTTTGGCGCGGCGGTGGCGGGGGAGAGGAGCCGATTGGACGCCTTTGTTAGCACCGCACTTGTGAGATACGGCGGCGACGAGGATGAGACTGGTGCCATGCCTCTCTCGTGCGAACCCTGCGCCGGAGGCCCTCTGAGTACAACACGTGATTGAAAAAACTCTCAGAGGCAAAGAGCCTACGCGGAGGGGGGAACCCCACACAACATGTCCATGCACATGTCCATGCACACGTCGCGGCTGTCACGGCTGGGACTGGCGACTGCCGGCTCGACCCCACGACCACGAATCCACGATAGCCTCCGCGCGAAGGCCGACTTTGCGCATGCGGCAGCCATCATCGGACGATGTCGACGAGTTGGGTCGCTCTCGCGGTAAAGCCGTAGCCCGATGACCTATCTCATACTCTAGGAGTATCGGCCATGGCCGCAGGGAGCGCGGGGGCGAGCGGCGAGGGCGCTGGAAGCAACACGGAGCGCGCTCCGTTGGAGACGTTTTCAAGATAAGCGTGTCAGAGTGAAATGGCACTAGCCTTTGGAAGCTTCACGGTGGAGGCTGTGAAGTCGCGGCATCGAGTTCAACCTCAGCGCACGCGCACGCACCGTTGCTGGGGAGGAGTTGGCCTGCGGCAGTGGCGAGCGCTCCCGAGCTCGCGGCGCCCCGTTCTGGCCATCTTAGTCCCGCATCTTTCGCGCTTTATCACCACAAAATCGTCTCCATTTTGTGCGCCTCCGGTGGCAGGTCTAGCCGGGCCCGATTCATGATACTTTTGATGTTTGCGCGCCAGATCTCTCGAGACTCCACGCCGAGCACCGTGCACTCTACCCCTCCGTAGACACCGTCTCTACGCACTAAAGCCGTACGCGGTGGGGCGTCCCCCACAAAGCAAAACTTGTGGCAGAGGGGCCAGATTGCCGCGTGTGTGCGAACATTACTCATTAGCGTTTAATGCTTTTCCCCGGGGCTGGTTCGCTTTTAACACACACGCGCCCGGCCGTCGCGCCTCGTGCACAAGCTAGGTCACGAAGGACCAGAGATGAGACGACAGACAAGGACCCCATGCGGGCAGCTCGAGCATGTGTTATACTGCCGCTCAATCCCGCCAAGACCTTCTCGCCCGTCCCTCTTGATGAGCTCGAGCTGGCAGCTCATGCGGCCGTTTGGCTCGTACACGAGCAGCACCGGCGACACCATCCTTCTGCTGCCGGTAGGCTCCTGCGATGCTGCTGCGGTGGCGGGCTCTTTTTTTGCTGCTGCTGCTGCTGCCGAGCTGCGGTTCAGCGCAAAGCTGCCGCGCCGACACAGGCCGCGCTCACGGCCCGAGAAAACTCGGGACATTTCAGGAAGATTACTCATCTTCCGAACCATCGTCGAGCCTGTAGATCGTGGGCGATCGCCTGTTCCTGATCTTTTGTGACCGGAACATCATTCGCACGCATCGTGCGGTCGACGTCCCGAGAAGCGAGAGCAGCGAGGCCGGCCAAACCGACCAACTGGATGACGGGAGCCGTGCGCCAGTTCCACCAAGACATCGTGCGCTGCAGCAGCGGTCCCAACTTTTCGCGGGGTATGGTGTATGTGTGGTTGCCTCGCGGCCCAAAGGGTGGGTGGTTTCGTCCTGACCGGCGGAGGCCGTTGTCTGTCAGCAGGCGGGGGTGGGTATGGTCCGGAGGTTGCACGAACCATACCATACCCAGCAAAAAGTCCGAACCCAGGGCGCGGCGCGTGCTTAACGGCGCTGTGCTCAACCGGCCGCCACTCGCGTCAGGCTCGTGTGTGGCCACTTGGGGCGCTTCATTCGGAGGCATGGCCATCGAGACGGCACCGGAAAACTCGTTCGCTGCTGTTGCGGAGAGCGACGCAATCTGGCGACAGGAGGCGTCGCAGGAGCGCTTCGACGCCGACGCAGAAGCGTCGTCACTCCACAGCCTTCTGCATGGCTCGAGTGCGGCCGCCGTGGCTGCCGCGTGCGCAGAGACGAGCAGCAGCGTGCGCTATGACGCCGCTCGTGCTGCTTGGCCTGCGGCGGCCACAGCGGATCGGCAGCAGCTCGGCGGCGCGATCCGTCAGGTCGTCGACGCTCTCGATGCACCTCACCTCAAGCCCTCTGGGATTGAGAAACGGCTGCTGGGCGGCACGCACGCTGCGTGCCTCGGGCTCATCACGCTCCTCAACCAGATGTCAGCGCTCTCTCCGCCAACGTCGGGCGACACTGCGTAGGGGCATTCAGCCTGCGTGATTGCGTCTGTGCCGTCGTCCGGTGTGCGGCGCCATATATCCCCTCGATATCGTAAAGGGTGAGATCTCGAGGTACACAAGTACATGGCTCACACACACAGAAACATGACCCGAGAGAGTACCCCAGGGGTTACGGCGGCGTCGAACGCGCGTATACCGAGGAATTTAATACGACCTCCCGTTTTTTTTTAACCGGAAATTTTGGTGAGACGTCGCTCTGTATCTCACGGGTGTTTCGTCCCTGTCTCACTTGCATGTTTGCTGCATGATTTTTTCCGTCTCTCTGCGTCTCTCCAAGCGTCTCTCTGCTGTCACAGTGCTGAGTGTCAGTGTCGCGCAGGTGCGTCTCAGATGCGTCTCACATTCGTCTCTTTCGGCCGCGTATCACTCAGTCTCACGGCTGGGCTGAGACGTCACAATTCCTGAGCGAAGTGAGTCGTCTCACTTCCGTCTGAGACAGTGCTGAGCCACAATGAGACGTGGCGCAGGGCGGGGGGTTTGAGACGCCACAAGCCGCTGCTTGATTGAGATTTGAGTCGTCTCGGGTCCGTTAGAGACCATGCTGAGCCAACCTGAGACGTAATTGTGAGACAGTGGCGATTGGGGAGACTCAACTCAGCTGTGTCTGAGGTGCGGCCTGGCGGGTCTCGGTGAGTGTAGACGAACCCCAAGCATAATCGCGCTCTCTGGCTTAAACGGTTGCTCTATCGCGCACAGAGGGAAGGCGTCCTGCTCCTGGGGGAGTGCGCCGCTTTGCCTGAAGAGTTTGTTTTGAGGACTTGAGCACTGGATAGGGTCGATTCCGGTACGGGACCCCTGTAGAGATTTCACGTTGTAGAGCGCCTCTACATCGCTCTAGAACGCACGCAGTTCGTCCCGCGCCGGATGTAGAGCTCTACAGCTCTACAGCGCTCTCCAGCGCTCTACATCTCTACAGCTCTCTCTACATACAGCGCTCTACACTCTACATCCTCTACACCCTCCCTCAGCCTCCGGGGCACCGCCGCCGCCTGCCCCTCCGCCACGCACGCCCCCC